GGGCATTTGAGTTAAAAAATTCTGAATTACATTTAAATTGAAATTTAATTTACAATAAATTGGCAGAAAACCAACAGCACAACAAAGATTGGGGGATTTGGTGGTTAAAAAATTCTAAATTACATTTACATGTAAATTTAATTTACGATAAATTGGCAGAAAACCAACAAATCAGGGATTGGGGCATCTGGTGTTTAAAAAACTCTAAATTACATTTAAACTGGCAGAAAAACAACAAATCAGGGATTGGGGCATTTGGTGCTAAAAAAATCTAAATTACATTTAAATTTAATTTACAATAAATTGGCAGAAAACCAACAAATCAGGGATTGGGGCATTTGGGTTAAAAAATTCCAAATTACACTTAAATTTAATTTAAAATGAACTGGCAAAAAACCAACAAATCAGGGATTGGGGCATTTGGGTTAAAAAATTCCAAATTACACTTAAATTTAAATTTAATTTATAATAAATTGGCAGAAAACCAACAAATCAGAGATTGGGGCATTTGAGTTAAAAAATTCTGAATTACACTTAAAATTAAATTTAATTTAAAATGAACTGGCAGAAAACCAACAAATCAGGGATTGGGGCATTTGGGTTAAAAAATTCCAAATTACACTTAAATTTAAATTTAATTTACGATAAATTGGCAGAAAACCAACAGCACAACAGGGACTGGGGGGGATCTGGTGTTTAAAAAATTCCAATTTTACTACAAATAGGCAAAAAAACCCAAGAGGAGGAAGCCCCTCTTAGTCTGCACCTGAACAGATCCCACAGCCGGGATTAGGCCGGAGGCTTAAACCCCAAGCTGGGCTTAGAGCAGGCTGGCCCAGGCTGATGTAAAAAGTCCATAAATGGGTTTAGGAGTTCAAACATCCCGAACTGGAGCTGGAGAGGATTCCTGGGAGCGGGAGAATCCCATCCCACCCCACCCCATACCTTGGGCAGGCTGTAGACGTGGCACTCGTAGATGAGCTCGTAGTGGGGCGGGTTGATGCTGCTCTGGTAGATGCAGAACAGGTTCTCGTTGGAAGTGTCTGGGAATTACAGTGGGAATGTCAGAGAGGTTCTGGTGTGATCCCAGGAGGATAAAAGAGTGGCTTTTCCCTCTTCCCAGTAGGAGGTAGGTACCTGGTTTATCCGGGCTCTGGATGAAGTGCTGGGAAGTGAAGGTTTTGCCGTCGGGGTATTTGGGGTGAGGAGGGAGCCTGGAGTCCAGGTAGGTGCAGAACACGTGCATGAGGATCTGGGGGAAGGACCCAAAGCTCGCTGGGATGGCCCCAAAAAGGGAGGGAAGCAGCCCTGCCACCACCCTAGGAGCCGAGCACAGGGGGAGTTAGGCCAGGCTTGCAATCCTGGCTTAACCCCGGGGCTTAGGAACAGCCTCGGGCCTAAAGGGCTGAGTTCTGCAGGTCAGGGTTTGGCTGAGCAGGGGAGGAACCCAAAACCCAGCTCTGCCCACCACACCCTGACCCCATTCCCAGGGAGACCCCTGTGTTTTTTCCCATTTTTTTCCCCCATTTTCCCTGGTTTTTCCCCGTTTTTCCCTCAGAAGTAGGACTGGATCAAGGCCCTGAATTGCCAGGTGCAGCAGATCCCCCATGCTGAGGGAATCCCATAGATCCCTGACCCCATTCCCAGGGAACCCCCCATGTTCCCAGGGAGCCCCTTTTCCCATTTTCCCCGTTTTTTCCCCCCACAATCAGGTCAGGATCGAGGCCCTGAAGCGGCACCATTTTTTCCCCATTTTTCCATGTTTTTCCCTCAGAAGTGGGACTGGATCAAGGCCCTGACTGGGCAGGTGGAGC